CTACCTAAAAAGTTGCAAAGTGGTGGCCGCATTCGACTGCACATTCAGAGCTGGTGAATGCTCTCTGATATGCAGGGCCTCTAAAATGAACAATTTCTTTTGGTCAGTGCAAGATTCGATAATACTTGTATTTTCAGTTAGGTCAGCTCTGGTGAGAGGGCGTTTGTGCACATTTAGCATATGGGCCTTTGGTGCTCCTTCTGCGAGGTGCATTGTCAAACGTCGTGACAGCGTGGTTGTAGTTGCACCAACGTAGTCGATTTGGAGGGGCCTGCAATCCACCTCGGGGCACACGAATCGGTACACTACGTTGGTGCGCTTCAGTACGCTGTTGCTAACCGTCACATTATTCTTCATGAACAAGTTGCTTACAACAATATGCCTTGGTCTTTAACCAAACGTGTATTAAAGAAAATATATTGCCAAAATACACAAATATATATATATATATATATATATATATATATATATATATATATATATATATATATATATATATATATATATATATATATATATATATAAGCCGTTTTCACGACGGCCATCTGATACACATTTGATGCACATCTGGTGTAGATTAGGTGCAGATTTGGTCAAATTAGGTTTAGTGTGTCTCTTAGTAGCTGGGGCATTCCACGATAGATCGTACCAGGCCCGTCACCCTCATCTCTCAGATTTGAATGAAAATTGGTACTAGGGGTAATCATAGGCCCCAAAGACGCCTGGCAAATTATCAGACTTCTCAGATCAAAACTTTTTGAGTTATATTGCATTACATTTTTTAACTTCGGTTTGTAACGGTGAGTTTGATGGGCTATAACTCAAGAACAGGTTAAGCAACCAACAAACAGTAAACAACACTAAGCTTGCGATGAATCAAAAATTAATATTACCATTCAAAAATTCCAAAGAAAAATTTTCATTGATGAGCAAAAACCTTAATCTTTTTTCATTTGCATCTAATGACCTTTGGGACCAAAATTTTTCACATTTTTATTTTTTCAAAATAAACTTCATGTCATTGCAAATCGACATGCAAAAAATTAGAAAGGTGTTCTTTCTATAAGTTCCTCATTTTCCCGCAAACAAAATGGGTTTCGGAGGGGTTGATACGACCCCAGCACGCCGTTTCGCTTCTAATAGAGCTAGAGTCTCGCGGAAAAAAACGAGCGTGTGTGCCGTAACAAGTCGCAGCGATTGGTACCCGATTTTAAGGTTTCAGGTCAACTGGTAGCGTCGGAGGTCAGGTCAAGTGACTGAAGTTACGGGTTCGGTTTTTAGTAAATAACTTCGCAAAAAATGGCCGCAGAGCCGCGATTTTGGCATCATTGTGTTCGCCTAGCTCAGGTGCATCGAATGGTATACTTTTTGCTAGGGTGAGGTCAACTTAAGTAGTTGACCTCGGGTCAAGGTCAGGTCAGAGCCCTTCAGGTCACGAAGCTGGGCAAAGGGTATCATATGGCATATCATTCGATTCGGAAGGTCTTCCCGAGTCTATTGGTGGCTTTCCCGACTCTCTAGCTCCATTTGATTGGGAGTTATTGACGAAAAACTCGTACGACCCTAGTGACGTCATAAATGACGTCACGAAAGGTTACCAATGCAAAAGAAAAGCATTGGACTTTGCAAGAAGTGCATGAAATCACGATACCATGTACGTGGGATAGTTTTAGATCATTCTCGGCAGCCAAAATAAGTTTTTTTTTATATTTCCCCATTGACTAATAACAGTGATGTCACGTGACCGACCTGACCTCATGTAACCTTTAAAATTCCCAGATATACAAGTGTGAGACCTCTGGAGGACACCATGTATGCGTCCTGTAACTTTCATCTCGGACAGCTATGGTCGTTGGCGTCCAAAACAATGTCAGAACCAAACAGCCTTTTTCACCCTCGCGCTTATAGGAAAGAGGGTTGGATGAACCCTCTTTTCACTTTTTTCAGATGACTCAGACTTCAATTGAAATTTCAGTAACCCGTGATGTCACTAGGCAGCTTTACCACGCCATTTGTAAGCTCCCCTCCCGAAATCACTATTCGAAACCGTGATCGTGACGTAAAATAAATACATTTATAGAAAGAACACCTTCCTAATTTTTTGCATATTTGTTAACAATGAGCCAAATATTTGTTTAAAGAAATAAAAATTCAAAAAAATTTGGTCCCAAAGTCCAAAAAATACAAATGAAAGAAAACTCGATATGTCATATATCAAAAAAGGCATATTTTTCGAAATTTCAAAAATACATATTAATCTCTGTTTCATTGCAAGTTCAATGTTATATAACATTTGGCATTTGAATAATCCGTCTTAGAGTTACAGCCCGCCAAACTTAGCGCTGCAAAGCAAGATCCAAAAAATGTTATACACCATAACTCAAAAAATACTTATCTGATAAGCCTGAAATTGTTACAGGTGGATTCAGAGCCCCTGATTACCCATGAGACCAACTCTCGTCAAATTCCGAGAGATGAGGGTGTCAAATTGGAAAAAAGTGGTACGATCTATCGTGGAATGCCCCAGCTATCAGCTAAGGTTGCACTTATTGCTTATCATGCCTACTTTGTCATATTATCAGAGAGCATCATGGATTAAAACACTGAAATAAATTCATAAAGTGAAGATATTTGCTGTAAAAGAGATTAGGTGCAGAATTGGTCAAATTAGGTGGATTCGCCGGATAGCCCGTCGTGAAAACGGCTATTATTTAGGCCAGTCGCCCATGAACCAGTTACCAGTCGCGTGAACAGCGGGATCGCTCTATTGATTTAGACCATAATGATCGAACTATTGATCATAGTATAGGTACTATACAATACATACCCATCTGTGTTTCCCTATAGTAAAACAATGTCATGTATATGTCGGGGTGTCATTTAGTGTTAGGAGGCCTCACGATAAGTATGAAAACAAATAAACGGTTTCCCTCGGAAAGTTCAAAACAATACGTTGTTGGCAGGGTATAACCGAGGTTCATCCTCACGCTTGAGCTTCATAACTTTCGCAGGTTCAAGGTTGCGTCACGGCTTCACATACCTATGTTGTCACTGTGACGTTGACAGATGGGATGATGACTTCAACTCGCGAATAATAAACGATCGGCTGCTCGCTGGATTCCAAGAACCTTTCGAGCTATACGAGCGCGGCAAATGGTAACCGTAAACCATAATCGAGTGTCGCCAAACACAGACGTCTTGTAAGAAGTCAGCAATACTCATCGAGTTGCAAGCTTACGCAATGGAAAACTTGGGCAGTGGTCGGCAGGTCGCCCAAGGTCACTAGTGCCCTCTTTTTTGGACGCCGGACAGGGCCACTACCCCCACATATCAGACCCCATTACTTACAGGGCAAATGTCACTGATATATTCCATCACTTTCGGTGGTTCTAATTCTGCATTTCAAATGGAACACAATTCACCCTCGTACTTATACATACATAGGGGGAGGGTGTAGGTACGATGAACCCTATGTACCAACGAAGGGCAAACAATTCCGGTTTTTCATGAAATATTCGCGTAATGAGTATCGGATCACAACAAGCCTTTCAATACCTTCGAGCTGATCATCTTTTACACGTGATCCAAAAACTTTCATGGCCCCAATCTAAATGACCTTTACCTATGACATCTTCTTGGAGACCACGTCAGACCAGAATGGTAATGCGATGCATGCACCACCTTATCAATTCGTGCGAGTCATTAATTGTAAAAAGATGGTGGTTTTCCGGGGCGCTCATTGCCCCCGCTGAAGGGCTCCGTGTCCCCCAGAGGACGCATTGCCCCACCATTTGCCGACCCCTAATTTAGAAGAACGAGCTAAAAAGAAACAATGCCGCCAGGTAATAAGAAAGAAAGAAAAGCAATGACAGCCTGAATAAACGTAGTGTGTAGTGTGGCGTGCGTATGGGGTGCCATCGGTCAAACGGCCGTTACATTTGGACCTAAACTATAGCATTATTTTACGAAGAACGCTCTAGCCTCTAGGTCACGCAATTTCGAATGTCACGGTTTAGTAGGTATTGAGAACTGCTAGTAATCAGTTCGTCATTGTGTTCATATTTCACTTGCTTCATACTTATCTTTTGTTTACAGCAAAATTTCAAAGTTGCAGTTTGACTGGCCTCTGCGCTCATTCCAGTAATAAATATGCATGTTCCGACCTATATGAACTGTTATTGGCGTGGGTCAGTCAGTTCGATGCTTAAACATTTTTGACCTTCATCGCTGCAGCAAGAATGAAACTCGCTTTGAATTCAAGGAATTCGCGATTCCATGCACACAGAAAAATATTAACACCGTTAGCGGTGTAATTGCACATGCATATCTGAGCACTTGAGGAAAGTTAATTTAGTCCCTTCCCCGCTTAAATTACTCGCGCTTCTAAATGAACACCAGGAAGAAGGTAATAGAACACTGTTAGGAGGGTTGGGTGTTTTACTACATGTAGTAAAACACCCAACCCTCCTAACAGTGTTCTATTACCTTCTTCCTGGTGTTCATTTAGAAGCCCGAGTAATTTAAGCGGGGAAGGGACTAAATTAACTCTCCTCAAGTGCTCAGATATGTACTGTGCAATTACACCGCTAACGGTGTTAATATTTTTTGTGTGTGACATGGGACATCTGATAGGACAACGCATTGTACGATTATCGTTACCTTATGATTGCAGATGCCAGAGATATATTTTTGCCCTCCTAGTTTTCACCTTTGAACATCTCAGCCTTCAAACGTGTTTCGTTAATTTTATACGGGCTCGAAGCAATCATACGCGTATAATTTGATTATATGTGTGTTATATAACGTGTAGATAGAACTGTGGCCGGTGTAATTTATTATAGCCAGAAGACTCGTGGCATGTATTGTAAAGACTCATACCCTAGACCACCTCTATTGATGCTTTGCTTGTGTTCAAATTGCTTATTAGGTATACAGTGTACCTTCTCAAAACCCATGGTCAAGGCTTTGTTCCAGGCCTGAAATATAAGAATGAAAAACAGTTCGATATTATGGATTGTATTCCTGTACACATACCGATGATACAATATAACAAATAACAACATCCACGCATATCTACCACATCAATTGGTCCCTTAATCTATGATTGCTTTCTTTTCGTGGAAGCACCGTATTGTCCAACCGCTCCTCACCATTGTGTGGTCGCCGGCGTATAGACCTATATGACATCATTAATAGCCTCATGCACATTATGCCGCGATCGTAAACTACGAGTCAACTACTACGTGACGTGGGCTCACGGCGTCGCTCAGATGCTCGGCGCCCAGAGCGCGTGGTGGGGAGTGGAGCGGCGGACGGCGGCGCAGGCCCCGCCATATCCAAACTATGGGTCCGTTTGTGAGGTCGGCCACGAGACGGAGCCGTCTGGGAGGGGACAGGTCGCCGCGACCTCTCCGGTCGGCCAGACACTCGGCCGTATACATACACAAACAGACCATCTTTGGTGAGGCCGTCGCGGCGCGAGAGAAATCCGAGAAGCGGCGATTTCGACATAGCGAGCGAGCACGACGAAACATGACACCGCTTGGTCGCGGTTGATAAAATATACGGCGATCTCATAAGTTTGATAAGGCGCGGTCGAGCTTCCCAGAAGCATCGCTGGTTCGTCAAAGAGTGACTCGGCAAAGAGTGAGAAGAAAAAGTAGCAGGCTATGGACAACGTGCTCAGACATCCGTGATCTTTACTCAGCGTTCAATGTCTGGCGGCTATGTACAAAAGTTGCGACAGCGTCAAGCAGCAACAGAACAGCCACCCCACCCCGCGGCCACCCTTCGTTACGCAATGGCATCGCTGAGGCAGCGCACCTTTTTGGTGCAGAGCTTCCAGCGCCGGCGCCGCCGCCGCAGTGGCCACCTCACGGCTTGCGCGCGGCCGCGTGCACGGTGCGCGCGCGGCTCATGTGCCGGCCGCGCCGGTGCACCTTGGTGTGCTTGGCCAGGTGGTCGGAGCGCGTGAACGCCTTCTGGCAGACGGGGCATGAGTACGGCTTGATGCCGTAGTGCGAGCGCCGGTGGCGGGCCAGCTCGTCCGAGCGCGAGAAGCGCCAGCCGCAGCCGGTCCAGCCGCACGCGAACGGCTTCTCGCCCGTGTGCCGGCGCATGTGCGCCTTCAGGTGGGACGACTTGGCGTACAGCTTGCCGCAGCCCGGGTGCTGGCAGGCGAACACCTTGTCCTCGGGTCGCACCTGGCTGCGCGGCCCGCGCCGGCGCACCACCGTCAGCGGGGGTGGTGACGGTGACCAGGGCGCCGGCGCCGGCGCCAGCCGAACCAGCTGGCTGCTGTAGTCGTGCGAGACGAGCGCCGGCGGCGCCGCGGCGCGGCTCACCACCAGCGGCTCCGACACGCACTGCGTCAGGTTGAACAGGTTGATGCCGAGCACGACCATGTCCTGGGCGGGTGCCGTCGGCTGCGGGGGTGGCGGCGGGGCCGGCGGCGGTGGCGCCGGGGAGGCCGACACCGGCCCGGCCGGAGACAGGTTCAGCAGCCGGTCGCACATGCTCATGGTGGAGTCGATCAGGCCGTCGTCGTCGGCAGGCGTGCAGTCGAGCGCACCAGGATCGGGGCGCACCTCCAAACTGGAGAAGAACTCCTCCAGGTAGTCGGCCGGGCTCAGACATTCGAGCGTCGTGTTATCCGAGAAGGACGTCAGACACGAGTCGCTCCCTGTGAACGAACACGGGACGGGGGCGGTCGGTTACAGCGTCCGGCGCACACCATAACACCGCGCGGTGTTGGTTACACAGTCCAGGCCGAGTCGCGTGGCGATGTTTAGGGAGGACACGACAATCCGTGTCCGAGTTATCGCCACTCCTGGAAAAGGATCAACTTTCGGCACATGGCACCCGCATAGCAGCGGCTCATGTTACATTATAAACATTAAACAGATTTGATTCGTGTTCGGGTTTGGTGATGATACCTTTTCGTGAGGGTAGCAACGTGTTCTGAAAGTGACGTGTATAAGTGGTTCACGCCTCACCAGTCGATTGATATCGTATTGGCGTCGATTTATAGCAAGATCTCGGTTGGACCGACGCGACGGCTCAAATTGCACTGCCGTAAAAATATACTGTAGGGGGTTCCAAGTTGGGAGTGGAAAAGTACACACCCTGCTTCTGCAAACACCAGCAATAGATGCTTGCAGTTCATGGAGGGAGAATGTTTGTACGATAGCTCACAACTTGCATTTCTGTGTCTATATGTGTGCCTTTCTCCGTACCATCGCAACTGCGTAGCTCAGTAGGTTTCCGACTAGTCACACATGACGTCTCAAATTCCCACTTGAAACTCATCCGTGACCTCAGACCTCATCATCGTCCAAGTTTCTTCAGCTTCAGACTCTGCTTACGTTTCCGGAAGCGCTGATGTTCTAATGATTCCCGGTAGCAACAGCCGCAGCCCGGACCGTCGCGTCGAGCGGGGCATTCACCCGTAAACGACACATTCAGATAGCGGCGACTCGGCAGAACCCTTTCGCCGAACGAGCGGTGCTCGGCGGCGCGAGGCCCGCTTCGGACGGAGACATGTCGGGGGATCCAGTTACAGCTCCCAGACGCCCCCGCGACTCCCCGAGGAATTCCTGGCGCCAGGACTGGCTCCGCGCCGCCGCCGACATCGGCACAGGCATGACGCGAATGTTGCAAAATCGAGCGTGACGTAAATAATCAGAAAAGTGAGCGAGGATTACGAACGGTTATTGGTTATGAGAGAGATGGAAATTTCCATTTTAGAGGGGATCCTTCTGAGAACCGAGCGGGACCTGTCCATACAGACATCTATCGTGACGATAAAATAAACAACCGCTGCTTGGCGATTGTCTGTTGTCGTCGCGGTCACCGGGTGCGCTTTAGAAATGTGAGCTTGGTTTGTATTGACAAGCTAGCGACCTGCAACAAATTCATGGAAATTGACAATTTAACTTTTGAGTCGAAAGGTAACTTGTTGAAAATACAGCTAAGAACAATAAAATACCGAATACACAAAAAATGTAGGATCACGATCAACTATATCGGTATGACTTTTTAGTGTCGCAGGACATCGGTAATTTAATTCTAGAGAAGTATTACCTACTTTAATTGATAGAAATACAAGCATACTAATCATTGCAAAGCATTGAGCATACCCTCCCAGTCATGCATGTTGAGAAGTCGTATCATGCATGACATGCAGCTCGACATTCACTTCGGTAGGGTCATGATGACAAGCACATGTAAAATTGTGGCCTGCTTCTCCTCGCTCTGACAGCCGCTGCCCTGCGATCGCGCTGAGTCGGGCCAGAACACAGGCCCACTGGACTTTGGCGCTGTGTATTATGATACCAGGGCGACGCGATGTCATGGCCCAGTCTCTGTCATCGCCTCTGGACAAAGTGTGGGACAGATGTAGGATCATTAGCTTGGCGCCAGTGACAATGCACCTGCAAGATGTTAGACCAATGTTTACAACCGAGCAGCTTTGGACGTACTTCCTCTTCGCGTGTCTGCTTTCAAGAGTTACCTCAAGCCGTGTCGCTTGGCCCAACATGCCAATAAAACTTCATCTCCGATGTGAAAAATCCTTGGTGTAATAGACCCCTGCATGTGTCTTTTGACTATCTGACTGACCTTTCCCTAACAGCTGCCTCCTGTCATCCACTCCGACCGCCCCCGGCTCCGGCAGCTCCCCACACCGTCCGCCCATGGCACCCCCTCTCCTCCCGGCCTCTTATCGCTCACCTGGCGACGACGAGAAGACAGAGAGGTCGGAGGCAGTGTCCGCCTCGCTCCAGCTGCCCCAGTCGCCCCAGGCCGGCTCCGACTTCAGGACCATCGAGTCACTCATGGACCGGGTGAGAGGACGGCGCGCGCGGCGACGGTCGGCCTCACAGACTGACGTGCGCGCTCAGCGCATCTGACTGGCTGGCGTCACGGAGGACAGCTCTGTTTACAGCCGGACGGGGGCTCGTCTCCGCGGAGCCAGTGCGCAGACGCGCCGGCCAGGTCACGTGGTGGGGCTCCGTCCGGGCTCGGCCTCAGCGCAGTCCAGTTTGGTGGGGGCACCTCGAGGACAGTCGCCGTCCTTGTTTACACTGGCGTTCGATCCTGGCGTGCAACTGAGAACATACCGTTAGTGTGGTCAGATAGCTCAAATATACACGACATTGGCGCCCAGACCCAGTCAAAGTAACATCAACACTGGCACGGCCGAATGTCACGGCCTGCGGACCTCTGTTGCCTGGGGCAGGGAAGGTCAAAGCGCTCGGTAAGCGTCTTAAAGAGCAGGTCAACGGGTCCAAAAAAGGCCTCAAACTGTTATGATGTGACGGGTGGCCTCAAAAAGAAACGAAACAGCATCAGAGGTCTTGTAGCGAAACTTGACTGCTACTCACTTTCCAACCAATAAGATACGGCTACGAGTAGCTTTTTAAACATTCCTAAAGGCTGAAACAGACTCTTTCCGCGTTCAGGAAATCGCATGCGAGAGCCTATTCAAATACATTGTAATTCTTCTCGCATCAATCGCTTGCGGGAGGTGCGTGCGATTGATGCGAGCGTGCTTCCATGTATTTGAATAGGCTCTCGCATGCGATTTCCTGACTGCGGAAAGAGTCTGTTTCAGGCTTTAGGCTCGCAACTAAACAACTTTCGGTATCGACGACCCGGATTCCATGATTTGATAGCCAAGCCAAGTGAGTCGGAAATTCTGTCCGACGCGCGCACCCAGCCTGTAGATGAAGTTGCGAACACTGACCTGCGCACCAGACACCCTTCTCCGTGCCACTCCGCGACCCAGTCCGGGGGCAAAGTTTAGCTATTTATAACCAAGATAATCCGCATATCTGACATTTATCAACATAAACATCGTCGGCGTCGTATCACAAGATCCAGAGACTTTGAAGTACCCTAATTGAGACCGATGCCAAATATACCAATCTTGTTCAAATATATAGTGGAAGGATTAGGCTTCATTACATGAATATCAGGCTGTATAAATGGCTACTGCGAGAAATAGCAAACGAGAAAACCCACTGGTGCCTGATGTGAAATGCCGCATTGCGACGGCCGCTACCGGCAGTCGTTTGGGAAATAAACAGTAGCGCCTACGTCTCAGCCTCTCAACAAGAGAAGCATGCGCATTATCAGAATTAATTATAAACCAGCTAGAAATATTTCCTGAATAGTTTTGACTGTCAAGTGCTTATGGTTGTTGGTTACCATCCAGTAATTTCTATCCGCGATACATGGATCAAATAGCAAACGCATGATAATCTTGAATTTATTAGTAAATGAAAATGGGCCTTGAACGCGTTATTATGTGTGATAAATGTTTACCTTGGCGCCGGCGCTCCGTTCGGCTCTCCGGATTGTGTCCACGAATCCTCGTGTCCCCGTGTCCGCCACTGTGCGCCGCTGACCGGCGCCGGCCCCTCACTGGCCGCCCGCGGACTCGGTGACCGGACCCCGGTCACTGTGTGCGACTGTGACGTCACCGCTCGAGCGGTGGCCCGCGCCGCCAGTCACCCTACACCGGCGCCACCCGACACGGCACGCGGCCACCGACCGTCGGCCGTACCGGGCGCGTCGCCGGCGACGCCGACAGAGTTGACCAGACCCGACCGGCCGGATCACATTACGGAAGGCCTCTCGTGACCTGTCGCGCCGGGCCGGTGTCCGGTTTCGGAGAGCACGCCGCGGCGGCCTGCCGCCCCGCGCCGGACCCTCTGTGTATAATTACTGTGTAGATGGTTCTGAGACCACTCGGTGACCCGGCCGGGGGAAGTTCCGGTGACCCGATGGCGCCGTCCCGGCCGGCCCAGACGGCCATTGACATTGTTCATTGTACGCAGTGTGTAGCGCGGACCTGCAGAGAGCTCTGGCGACATCCGTTTCTAATATTGTCGGTCGGCTTTCGAGTGCATGAGGGCGGGATGATTGTCGCTTTCGAAGAAATGAAATACGTTTTCCTTACTCGAGCGACGCTGAATTATTCTATTCAAGGAAAGCTTGATCTCCTGGACAAAATAAAAGAATGAAATGCGTTGATCCTAGTTTTAATCATTGCGTGGGATTTTCCACGAGCCATGAGCTGCATCGAAATGTCACTATTTCTGTAGCAGGACTGCAGGAGCACCAGCAAGACGAGACGACTCTGGGGCTGGACGGCCTTAAATACGCGCCTAAAATCTCATAAAGCTGGCCTTATTATTGGTGTGAATGGTGTGCTGTAAATAGATATATTATTACAGTATACCCTTACATGCATGCATGTGTGATGAAGACGGTAGCCTTTACTTTTGATATGTGTTGTTATTCTTGTCGTTCGTGGTACGGGGATAGAAACACAGTACAATATTTGAGCGTGCTTAGGATTAAGCCATGTCTCAAATTTGATTAATGAAACAGGCTGCAAATTCTGTGTCAGTTCTGCGCCCTAAAGCTCCAGAGCAGGCCGTAAGACACGCTGCCGCGCGACTCAGGTGCCGCTTCCACCCGCAGCGGCCGCCTAAGTGCGTAGACTGTCCCGCAGCACATGGAGGCGCCGCGGCACAGCCTAACACCCAGGCACCGAGCTCGGAACGGACGGCCGACCGCCGCGCGGCTTATGTGAGACGCGAGGTTCGTCGGGGGTCGGGGAGGGGTGAGCGATGGAGTAACCCTACTCAATAGTCAATATATATTTATGACTTGTGTTATTGTAGCACATTTATTATTTATGCGTCCTTTCTCACATCATTCGGCTCCTTTCAATGTGCCGTTTTGTAATATGTCGACTGTATGATCTAACCGCAAAAACACGTACCAAACACTTCTGTCAGCAATAATTGCGTTTAAATATTACCGAATAGTGTTGCATACATTATCGCAGTGGATCATAAACCGTGTTCATCATAGCGGTCCTTATCAGCTCATCATCGAACCGTGCTCGGCTATGTGGCCCTAGCAACTGTGGAGACGCCAATACGTGCGTTCACCGAAAACTTGCAGAAGTTTGTCCTCCAAATGGTCAATGTCAATGGTGCGTGCTAACCGCTGGGCTAGAAACTAACGGGAGTGACACCGAGTGACAAGATGTCAGGGTATATGGAACAGTAACAAGAGTAAGATGCCCGATTCGGTTATGGGTTGTCTGCACTGGAGGGTGGTTCTCCGATCTCAATCGCTTCGTTTGACGTGATTGATGATGATTGAAACGTTTGAGATAGCGTGAAGAAAATGATTGCTGTTTGAACAGCTATGCTGTTAAGTGTCCTAACTACTTGCGACCTCATGCAAAGAGATGGCTCTAGATCAGGCCAGACCGCCAAAGTGCACCAAAACCGTCCAATCTGCAGCTTAACCCTCGCCCGCACATGGGGGGGGGTGGTTGCCACCCCCCAGGTAGTCTTTCTGCTCTGCACTCAACATTTTTAGAGCTAGAAGGCTGATTTTTCGTATAGCTGCTCCTCTATCCTTTCTTGATGTCCACTGAAAATTTCAAGTTTCTGTGATTTTTTGTTTCGGAGATATGACCTTGTTTGTCAGGTTATGTCATGACCCAAATGGCCAATTCTCAACATATTGCGTTTGCCATGGGCCTTATGAGTTTTTGACACTCTGATTTCGGCCTTTTTTGCCAGTCTTACCTCCCACCTATCATGGAACATGTTGTTCGACGATGTACAGGGGTCAAGGTCAGGGTCAAGGTCAACCTAGGTCATCTAAGATAATTGCGTTTTAGGCAAGCTGAATTTACTTTTTTGAAGTTTTTGACTGCATTTTTTGTAAAAGCTTCTCAGATCATGATTTCATGTAATATGGACCCAAAAACAATCGGTGCACACATCAGTATACACACAGACACACACAGACATACAAACACATATAATTGACCTTGACCTAACTTGACCTGAAATGACCTCAGCAGCAAAATTCTGGTCGGGTAGTGTGACAAAGAGGTTCTAGCTGGCTTGGCACCAGAAAACAGCATCGTCATCGGTATTTGATAAGCAGCACACTTGATATCCAACGGTGACCCAAAACAGCAACATTTTTTTAGTTTGACCTGACCTGGAAGGTCAATGACTGACCTGAGAAGGTAAAACTGGATATCATTGGATTCGTCTCTTCCCAAAGAATCTTTTTGGTCTTTACCGCTAAGCTCTATCTCCAACAGGAACGAAATGGCGCGGGGGGGTGGCAACCATCCCCCCCCCCATGTGCGTTCTAGGATGGAAAAATGGCATGTGCGGGCGAGGGTTAAGCGCTCGGCGAATCGTTCTTATTTTCAAGCATGACGGAATACAGCGGCCTGGTTGAGTTTAGAGTTAGAGGACAATTCATTACATTGTTGTAATGAACTATTCTTCATAAGATTTTATCCCAAAAAGCTTTCTTATATCGTCAAACGTCCACAAAGAAAAGCAGATACAGTAGCAATGACGTTGACATAATTTCCTTGCTGGTTGGGCATTATTCAAAGTAATTTTTCATGATAAAATGTCAAAGTGTCCAGATTTTATGTTTCAACCAGGGCAGCGTGGCTTCCGGTGTTCAAAGCAAATGGCACGCATGGCAGCTACTGTAAAATCCACATTTGGTAGTGGTGATTATTCTTCAAGATAAGACTCGGGAAATAATAAATATCCCGACCGTATACATAGAGGAACGCATGCCCTCAAAACTCGGAGGTATAGACTACCAAAGCCTGCGCCTTACCAATTGGATGTTATTCCTGGCGTACATACTTCGACTAAATAGAACATCAGCACTTACATAACAAAGCGGTTTGTGATATGAGGGCCACCCAGAACATAAAATGTAGCTCGAGAACGGATGATAAATAAACCAATTGTACTTAGTTACCAAGTTAATTTTCCATGAAGACGCCATGAAACACATCAGCAGTTTCTAAAAATGGAATACAGTCAGCATGGAAAATTGAAATCCCCACACTCCTCACAGCAAATATCTAGGAGCAGACGTCTCGGGGCTTATGTAAACATCTCCCAGATGTCGAAACACTCGGATGATGCTGCGCTCGCCCAGACTTCGTCATTCATTTTCTGCACCGGCTGTGCACTCTGCAACCGCCGGTCATCCAGTCGTGTGCCTCATTACCCGCGGCGTAACCGCAGATACTACGCATTCCCGCCGGTAGTCTGGAGTAGCAACTACAACGCAGCTCTTCGGCTGTGTGATGGGCGACGGGCGGCTAGAGCCTGGCAGTTCAGCGCACCCAGCCATTGTAACGTGATTCGGTGCACAGTGCGCAGTGTAGGTACGGTGTACCGACGTTTATACTGCACCGCGATCGGTGACTGCCGGCTCACCCAGTCGAGCGCTAATGCGCAGTAAGCTGGAACGCGGCTCGCTGGAATGACGACCAGTATCCGTGGATACACAGTGGACTCAACGGAAGGCTGTCGGTATTCAAATGCATCCGACCGCCATTGCAACTGACGGCGTGGAAAAGCCACCACTGCGTTTGAGGATGGCCGGTGATGGTCAATGCAATACAATACAATACATATTTATATACAATGCCCTTGCAGTGCAAGACTGAATAGGATCACGTCATGACGCCTATTACGGAGGAGACATATTGCGGGCTATAAATGGTTAAAGGATTCGAAATTGTTCGCAATCAAGACTTTAACTTCTTGGAACTCAAAAACGGGATTGCACCTTTCTTTCAGATGATTTCAAGTGAAACGGAGATTCCTTCAGTAACCTCAAAAAGTTAATAAAAGGGATGGAAATTGGAATGTTTTAACGAGTCAGCAAGTAGGACAGCATGTTGAACATTACCCATATACCTCTGTATTACATCCTTACGGTACACAGAGGCATATGCATCATCAAATACAGGATTTAGAAATAACCGCACCAAGCATGAGTGACTAACTACTTGCAGAAACGTTAAACGTCTTGCATTCATGCTGGCAATGCGAGCACTTTTGGCATGCTTGGTATCAAATGTCCAAACAACTATGCATGTAGGCATTCACTAGCGACCTGCGCATCTAGGTTTACTCGAACGGTTATATAATCCGTTTTGAATTCCGCTAGTCACAGCAGCATTCACATAGCGAAATACAGCACCGTGTGATGGCCGTGTTGTACGTACGTCTTTGCACTAAAATTGTTGGGATTACTTTAAGAAGATATTTAACTCACCGCATCGCTGATCAATATATATTATAAATATTTGGTGATATGCTTCAGCTGTCTTCCGCAAACGTTGAAAAAAGGTCAAGACGGGAAATATTTTTTAAGGATGCAATAAACGATCAATATATGTATGCACTTACAACGAACTGTGTCGCGAACAAATTGTCCATTATAAATAAGCATTTAGCTAGGGTGGGAAGTATAGGTTCTAACAATCTGAGGTTGTGTAACTGACACGATTTGTTTATAAGATACGAGTAGATATACCTACATGCGTTGAAAAAGACGATAGATCATCCTGAGCAAGGTCAGCGTGGCTACACCGATAACGTTTACATCCTTGCATAATGCACGCCTAACGTTGCGCACTGCTGACCGAATCCCCCTGCGGCCTGCCCCGGATCCACGGTCTCTGGAGCGCAGCCACACTGTTTACACATCTGGAGTTCAGCCTCCGACCGAATACTCATTTCCGCGGCGGTTTTTGCAGCCGGCGCGGCGTTTGTCTGTGGTGGCTACGGGTCACCGTCCGTCGTGTACGCGCCATTAACGCCGCAAGTCGCCACGACCGCTCCAGAATAGCTGCCACGTGCGTGTGCTGACCGCGGATCGGAGTTGTGGTGGCTGGCGTGTTCTACAGGATGATCGCCTCAAACAAGACATAACTCGTCCAGCACTGCATGCCAGACGGCCAGCCAGACGCCGAGACAGACATACCGGGGGGGGGGGGGCGCAGACAGGCACAGACACACCCACAGATAGACAGACAGACAGACAGAGGGGAGAAGTGCTTGGAGAGAAGAGGCACAGACACTGGCAGTATTCTGTCGCCCACTCAGACGCCACACCCCTGTATGGATCGTGTTCGCTCACCCGTTTGTATGATGTTTTTGTGTGTAAATTACGTAATGCAAATAGATTGAGGAGACACGCTCGTACTCGACCAAATGATGGCATATACAAGTAATAACTGTGGCTCGGACAGACACAGTAAGAAACTGTTATAGGAGCCGTCTGTGTTGCGAGCTATAATCTACCTCGCTCCCTTTAACCTCAGCAGTGTTCTCTTCTTGCCGAGTTGCAGGAAGGAAAACAAGAACTTATCAAAAACGGACTCTGCTGAAAAGCCGTAATGAAAAACCGTTGTTCATTCTGAGAACGATTCAGAGTAATCACTGAACAAATGTAAGATATCTTAGCACAAATTGAAATTCATATGTAGTTTTCAAGAAAAGCTAGGACTAGGAACTTTAAACTTTGTTCTTCATCAGAACCATATTCGTACAGCCAGTGTTAGGTTCGCTGGTTTCGCTGGCTCAACTTGAACCAAAGGGCCAATACAAAAATGTCATGAAATATGGACTTAAATCGCACTAAAGCCTATCGGGCTGCATAAGCTTAGCTTGAGAGCACTGTGACCAAGATTGCTACCTTTACAGTGTACACCATGCATTTGAAGTCCGAGGCTATGAGCAAAAGGACGGCCGCTGTTGTTGTAGCCTACTTAACGCCACCAGTGATGTTGGTTTTGCTACGGAAGATTTGAATCGGGTCAAATAGTGTCGGACTTTGACCTGCAGAAAGGAACTAACCTTAAAGCTAGCATGAAAACAGCACAATTCATTATTCAGCCATGTGGATACTGCAACAATCAACTAAATAGGGAAGCCACAAAGACCATCGCCCTCACATTGCCACTGTCCCTTGGCATCTCTACTCTACACATATTTTCAAGTGAAGGAGATATTTTAGAAGATGCGTGACTGTGTAATTTATCATATGTATAGCTAGACGAGGAGGGCAGATAGTCGACGAGACCAATCTCTTGATGAGGGAGGCATTTTAACGCTGTTACGTGTTTTTTTTTTCGCGAATATTTAAGAGAACGGCAACGGTTCTGGGCACAGCCGTTTTTTTTAAACCAGGTCAGGTCATCATCTCATGAAAAGTCTCCTGGGGTCACTAAAAAAGGTCCAGTGCTCAACCTACCTACACTATGGATCTGTTTTATGTCTATATATGTTATATGTGTTAACATTTCGGGTTTCAGCGTTTGATGGAGATGACATAATATGCATATGAAGCGTTTATTTCATATTTTCGAAAAACCAAAGGAATGGTCAATTCCATGACCTCGCCAATCGCTATTCTTATCATCTAAGACCTAAGGAAAACAGCATGTACCTCTTTCTCGTTAAAGTCATTGCGATTAAATGCTAAATCGAAAACCAATTCAAACTGCGGATCTCCACTATTCCTTTGCAGCCATGTGACGTCATAAAAAGTCACCGACATTAACAGAACTCTGTAGAGTGTAGATGAATACAACGTGATGATGCAGTTACAGTGTAAGTTGGCTGCAAGTTAGGACCTCATGGACACCAACTGCTGGGAGTAACATTGTGGATGGCCTTCACTTTTGTCAGGCCTTTCAGTACATATGTATGATGTAAAGCCATCGAAGAGACGCTGTTGATAAGCAATGTTCTCATTGAAGATCATAATCAAGGAAGCCTGCTGAAGATTCTTCAAAGTTCATAAAAGCCGTCTCACGACGGTCATCTGGTACACATTTGGCGCAGATTGGGTGCAGATTTGTTGCAGATTTGGTCAAATTAGGTCCACTGTGTTTCAAGTTATCGGTTAGGGTTGCACAACTGCTTATACACCTTAGTTTTCGAATCATCAGACATTATTTTCGATTAAAACACTGCAATAAATTCACGATATGAAGACATTCGTTGTGGAAGAGATTTGGTGCAGATCTGGTCAAATTAGGTGCATTCACCAAATATCTCGTCGTGATAACTGCTAATGTGCCCCGTTAGTCAATAAAGACTTGTCAAAGATTTTGCCACCGACAGGATTCCTATAATCGAAGGAAATAGCCAGAATCAGGGGCCACAAGCTTTGCAGCAAAACAAACTCGCTCTGCAAACGGACGTTCATCCGCGGTGATCAATGCAAACTACGTTTGTAACACGATTTACGAGTACCTGATTGCCTATTTAAATGTGCGGTAAGTTATTTGCTTTATTCGCCTTTAGTTAGAAACAGTGCTTACCGCATTGCTTTTCGCGACATGCCCAGCTGATTACTTTTGTCGTTTGGTTATTTGATAGCACAAAACGAGCATCAGATTTATTTCGTTGACGCAAGTCTGCCGAGCGGGATAAAATGAAGGTAAAAGAAAGGGTCGAAAGTCAACTTTGAGCTACCTCGCTCTGTCTTCAGAACTGCACGCTAATGGCGTGATTCATCCTCAGATACCGTCTATGACCATCTATGTAGTCTGCACACCGCCCCATGAAGGCCTGAGCTGTGTATTATGACGCCATCTGGCTGCAGAGTGTCCAACGTTTGGTCCATACCGCCGCCGGAGGGAGGCCACAGGACGCGGGCCCGAGACAATGACTAAGATGAACAGCATAGACGTCATATTCGTGTGGCAAGTGACGACAGAGAGAAAGAGCGGGGCATCAGACAACTCCCTGGCCCGCGCTCTGCACAGCGCACATCGATACTTCGCCGTCGGTCGTTCCCGAACGGTCATATTGCCAGTAGTCAGTTACCACCTTGTCGTACCGCTTCAATGCATAGGTTATGTCAGTCCAGATAAGACGGTTGGGTCAATGTCCACCATTCTTATTCTAAGCGGCTGCTCATCTCTTACTTTTTGCTTTCGTCAAACAAATGCTTGGGTACACGTGAATGTGTTGTGTGTATGCATGTGTGCTTGTGGCGTAGAGTGATTTTCATACATCAAAGAAAAAGTAAATGCTCTTGGTATGCGATTGAATGATTGCTTTCAAGCACCGCAAGTGAATGTCCGCCGCCTACCTGCCAAAAACAGGAATGCCAAACACGCTCGGATTTCCCCTGACTCTCACTGCCCTCTCAAAGTGCAGGTGCACGTAGCGGCCGAAGGTGACCCGGTCACAGGTCAGCAGTCGGGCCAGCCCCTGAGGCGCCGCTCCCCAGGGCTCAGCGCGCGCGCACGGCATCCACCGTCCCAGCTGCAGGGATGTGGTGACCGTGACCGCCTGCCGCTGGCTGCCAGAGCCGCCGGTGTAGGTCACTGCGTGGATCTGATGTGGGCCTTCCAGGTCCACTGTGAGGGTGTTGTCGTGCTCCGACCACTGTTTCCACCCCGAGATTCTGCGCCCGACCCGCTGGCAGACGAACGGCAGCCGACGGTCGCAGTTGATGTCGTGCAGAAGGGATGTGCCGGTGTGAACAACAGCGCACTGTTCCTGGGGCAGCAGGTTCGGCTCCCCTGGCGCCCATGAAGTGATGGTCAGCTGGGTGTCTGAAGTGATAAAGGCTGTGGTGGTGTCAGCTAAAGGGTATACGATGTCAGCGCCGCGGTCAATGCCAACGTAAATCAGGTTATCGTAGCTCAGCATCTTGAAGTTGTTGCCATCAAGCAGAGCCAGCACATTCTTCGTGTCTTGAAGAGAATGGGCAGGATACAGAATGCCCCAGTTCCTGATGCAATATGCGCTCCCCTCCATGGCAGTTGATTTGTTAAGTCCCAGCAGAAACCATCGGCCATCGTCAGCTTTAACATAGTTTTCAGGCGGCGTATCGCGTCGAAAGCGAAAGGCCTGAACTTCCACTTTGACGTCGTTAGTCGATACTCCAGCCTGAGTGTCTCCAGCAAGATTGCTATCTGCCTCTGAAGGAGCATCTTCAGGGGCCGACAACCGGCCGACTTGTTGGACGGTTTCGCGCTCAGAGGAGGGCCGAACACTGGCGAACAGCTGGCAGACAGGCTGCTGATCCTGAACGCCGAGCGCCACCATCAGACAGCCGGCGGTCTGCTCGCACAGCCTCCGACACCGTTCCGGGTCGAAGGGGACCTGCTCCAGTCGCGACTCCGGGTCCGGCTCGCCGGACAGGCCCAGCTCGAAGTCGCCCCAGCGCGTGTTGACGCAGCAGGAGGCCACCTGGAGCCGGAAGTCGCGCTCACACCAACACTTCTGGTCGCCTTTCTTTCCGTAACACCCGTGGGGACCATCCATGTGGACGCAGTCGCTGTGACGGGAGCAGAGGTGCCTCGGTGTGCCTGTCAAAAGGAAACGTGTCAATATTGATAGTTTCGTATTTCAGTGATCAGCGCTAGCGGATCCGCAAAAAAGGAGTATCAATCACCTCCGCAACGTCGCACGTTATATAAGCAATTATAGTTTAAAGGGACCCTCCCACCTTAACATTAGATTTGAGTTGAGATAGCCAAAATGGGGTCCCTGGCTCACAATTACCGGTTTCGGCACTCACAACATCGAGAAATGCCTTAAATCGGAAATATTGAATTTCAAAATTGCAGCATTTTGATTCAGAGGGGCTAATGCTTAGGAATACCCCTCTGAATGTGTGACGTCAGCGCAAATATCTAACGATTTTTAAATGTTTGACTAAAACGTTTTGTAGCACGTGGTGGTATATGCTATTTGCGCGCAACATCTGCCGCAGACGCCGCACTTCTAAAATAAAGTCGCTAGAAACAGCGGAGATCCCAAAAAAAGTAAACAAAAGTAAAAGTCTAATATCTTGAAAACCGGTGAATATTTTTCGGTGAAATTTGGTAGATATTCGTTTTCGCTCTTTCTGAACCGAGCGACATCACTTTCATGCCAATTCATAAACTTTTCTGAAGGTGGGAGGGTCCCTTTAATCCGCAAAGAGAAAGCGCTAGCCAGGTCCATGAAAACAGTTCATCGTATGGCTCAGCAACACAGGAGGAAGTGTAATCCGCTTTGGCCACTGCTTAGGTCTCAGCCTCCCCAGCAGCTTCATTGAACGGGCTAATCACAACCGCTTGTGAGGGACTCACCTGGGATTTTACGGTACTGGACCAGCCAGTTCTCGCTGCTCGGCTCGGTGCGGTTGAACAGCGGGAGCTGGGTGGATAGGCGACACTCGCTGGTCTCGTCGCTGTGAGCCAGGCTCAGACAGGTGGGTCGGGCCCGGCAGGCGGCCTTACATTGACCTGCGGCAGCGGGTAGGGCATGGAAGACAGCACAGAGGAGGAGGCCAAGGCTGGGTGCTCCGTGCACAGAAAGTGCCTGTGTTGCGTAATACGTAGACAACTACCGTGAAATTCTGAGACGTCAAACTGTGTCCGCATTGATAATGTTAACGTTTTCTATCCTCCGACTGGTCAGTGCAAAATCATGTTACAGAGAACACTGGGTAGGTACCATCACTATTCACCAGGGTAGCAAAAATCCGCTAGGCGAGGTAGATACCTATGTTTATTTCTAGAAATTCCCATGTCAGGGTAGGTACATTCAATTCTCTTGTTTTGTGAAAAATGGAAGCACTTCCCACAAACCAAGTGTTCATTTTCGCCATTAACTCAGCATAGACATTTTGAATTCAAAGGCCAATGATTTATTTTGGGACGCATTCCTCATCAGGGTGACCATCCTTCCATGTTGTAGAAGTTAATTTTGTACCGTACCAAATTCAAATATTTATTCCTTAATCATTCATCGTCAGCAACAGGGAAATAAAGTATGCACTATGCAGTATTTATAGTCACCGTGGTATGCAGGATCTTAAACGACCCCGAAAACGGTGCTGCGTTTTGCATTATACAGGAGCCATTGCTGCTGGACATTTGTGCTGTCATGTGTAAATTATTAATTTCTTTTCAAGTACAGCTGGAGGCCGGTAAACCGCCTGACAATACAGCAGTTCGACAAGTGTATGGCTACAAATCTCTGCCAGCCATTTCATTCTATGAATAAGGTAAAAAGGACTGACCAAGTTCAAATATAATTACATCACAATGGAACAGTTAATTGAATATACATAGGTTTTTATAGAGTTCTGACGGCATTACTGTTGAAACGAGCATCAGTCATATGCAAAAGTTTCCTGTATGTTTAAAATGAAAAGAAACTAGATGGCATGTTTTGCGCTATAACTGTGCGTTTTGATAGATGCGTTTGATGGGGCATTAGTTTGGGTGTGGGAACTTATGATTTTTATTTGTCTTATTTTGTCGGAGTTGGATATTTGTTTGAACGGCATGGTATGCTGGTGCTGGTTGCGGGTTGCTAGAGCCTCTCTCATGGTTTGCCTTTATCGAATTTAAACCCACCCTACCCTACCCTACCCTAACCTACCCATACCCTACCTAGATGGCATATTTTGCGCTATAACTGTGCGTTTTGATAGATGCATTTGATGGGGCATTAGTTTGGGTGTGGGAACTTATGGTTTTTATTTGTCTTATTTTGTCAGAGCTGGATATGTTTTTGAACGGCATGTTATGCCGGTGCTGGTTGCGGGTTGTTAGAGCCTTTCTCATGGTTTGCCTTTATCGAACTCAAACCCACCCTACCCTACCCTAACCTACCCATACCCTACTTAACTAATAGCACATAGTTACCCTTCTCATACTCGATTAATGTAACGTACCAAATTTGAGCGCAATCGGCCCAGCCATTCTTGAGATATAAAACTGGCCCACTGCACGTGCGCACGCGCTAGCTGAGACTCCAGATGACTTGTGCCAGCCACCCTTCTAAATTGTTCCTAACGGTGTACAAAATTTGAGCGAAATCGGCCCAGCCGTTTTTGAGATGTAGAAGCGGACCCCTCACGTGTGCACGTGCAGTCGATCAACCCTACCTGTCACAAAGTTAATTGAATATACATAGGTTTTTATAGAGTTCTGACGGCATTACTGTTGAAACGAGCATCAGTCATATGCAAAAGTTTCCTGTATGTTTAAAATGAAAAGAAATAAATTGGGCCGGTGCTCTACTTCGACTTGAAAAACAATATATGCGAGTACTTCAGTTATATTGATGGCGGCGGCGCGGTGGTGGCAGACATCACTCTGATCACGCTGGCGGTAGACGACCTTACACGGCGGCGGTGGCGACAGAGCCCCCAACGAAATACGACAATACAAAGCGAAATGGGCGCGGTTAGGAAAATATTCGTGAAGGATGCAGGGGTTACCAAATGGGCTGCCATAGGTAAAATAGAATGACTAGGTAAAATAGGTAAAATAGAATGAATGACATGAAGGAAAGGTAGGATACAACACAGTAACGATGGAAAACAAATACGGTACAGTAACATGAGGTGAAAAAGGTCACAGGGCAGTAACGAATAGCGACACTGTATAATAACCTTTGCCTCAGCACCGCTGGGCATTATGCACTGTTCACTGTCCAGTCTGTATATCTACGCGTTGCGCCCCAAGAAGGCTAAAGGCAAAGAGGCACGTTTTGTTGTGTTGCACCCATCGACCCATCATCAGTGGGCACCAGTAAGCTCTGCTCGTCCTTTTCATCGAACACTTATTCTTGTCGCAACATTTCAGGTCCTGTACACACCGAGAAGAAACCTTCTGAACTCGCTGTAGCCGCTTCGAAACGCCGACATTACGACACATCTACACTTACCCGTAAATTACATGGTTTCATCAACGTGCGTGCTGAATGGACGGGCACACTGATAAGTGAATGAAAACCATATGTGCACGTTGGTATAGCGCTATTGGACATTGGCCCTATCGTGGCCGTTAGTGCACGGTGAATGCACGGCTGAACTCCGCTCGACAGTGTTCATTCAAGGGGTGGATTTCTAAGCAATGTTTCAGTCACGCCGGCACGGCAGGGGAGCAAGTTTACTTTTATTCGATTGTATGGATATTTTTTTGCCAGTGATCTTGTGCTTAAGTACCTACCTATTACACTATCTCACTGTTAGATGCCGACTCTAATTTCAAGTTATGAAGGTGTTTCATGATTGTTTCACTAAAGCTATACTTATACATATACTACCTATACCTATACGTTTACACTTATACCTTTCCACTACTACTTATACATTTCTTTCTTTTTTATTGGACAAACTAATGAACAGATATTGGACTTAGCAGTATAAAATAGCAGATAAAATAAGCAGATAAAATAAGCAGATAAAATAAGCAGATGAAATAGCAGTATGTATAAATGCATATCTTTGATCTTTGAGATCTGTGACCTAAGGTCAGGTCAATTTTGCGACCTCTCCATTATACCTAAGTTAATGGGAGAAAATTGAAATGCGCCTCTTGTGGACGAATGGTGTTCAAAACCATCTCAAATATCAGTTCATGGGAAAACATGACACACTAAATCGGAAAAATGCACCTGTGGGCTGTGATCCCTTTGTGTGCCCCTGAGGTCATCTCAGGTCATGAACGGTCACCAGCAGTTTTTTTGGCTATAACTTTTGATAGACGTGCTAGAGCGGTGAAAACACGCCAGATGTGTTCAGCTCGACGATACGGATCGACTGATATGCAGCATGACCCTTTCCGGTCAGGTCATGACCTAACCTGAGGTCAAATTTTCAACCTGACCTTCCAAGGTCAACGTATAGTTCATTCGACGCATCTCGACGAGAGGAATACAATGCTGGCTAAAGTAATGTCGTGGCTCTTTTGAATGAAACGTCATTCTCATTACCGAAAAACATTTTTCGTGAAAACGGCTATCTTTAGAATTTTTGTCCTCTGGAGGCTAAACCGTTGACCTGAGGTCAAATCTGAGAACAATACTCGGAAAGGTATGTAAAAGGGCTATCGAATGCGTTTTCCGAGGCGCTATAGCTCTATTGGTTCCCGAGTTAGCCGTTGGCAGTTTCCAAAACTGTTGAAATGGACTAAATTTGTCCTTTAATGACCTCTAGTGAGCTGACCTTTTATCTGACCTAAAAACGCTCCCCCCCCCCCCACCAGCACAACACGGAAACGCAGGCCACAGCACAGCGCGGGTTAACAGAGCTTGCAGAACACCGTAGAGGCATTACCAAATTAGACGGCATGATTTCACTTCATACCACGACTCTCCAAATGCATTGAACTGATCGATAAAACATGGCAAACACTTTCTGATGGCAAAACCGTAATGGGCATGTCATACTTACATTTGTTCATATTCTTCACGAGGAAACAATGCTCTTTTTTCACAACTCGAACGCTTCCAGGCGATTCGAAAAACGTGATGTTTTCAATTCCACTGAAACCAACCAGGTGTATACGGGAGGCATCATGGCCGTCGAAAAATTGCAGTGCCGCCTCAGTTAAAAATATCAAAGACACAACCAGCCAGACTCGCCTGAGCGCTGCCATTTTATAGCCGAACCAAGGGGTCGGTGTGAGTTGCAGAAGAATGTGGTGACCTGCCTCGACGGAGGCCCCCAGCGGGCTGCCGCACTTGGTCGTTGCAGCCGTTGCATGGTCGGCCGGCTGCGCACAGTGTTGCTCAGAAACTGGCCATGGCAACAAACAATGGTCAGGGACGTGTGCGGTACGGAGACTGTTGGTTGATTTTAATTGAATTTAAAACCAATCAAATATGAGTGTTATGACGAAGGGCATGTTGGCAGCGTTTGGTGATACTGTTACCGTCAGAATATAAGCTACACTTAGGTGCGGTATAAGAAACGAAATCCTTCTCTTTTTAGTAACCAGTAAAACGCCTTTTGGGCGACCAACGGAGCGAGCGAGAGGATGGGCCTTGCACGTGCGAAATTGCGAGGGGGCACCTCCAACTAACTTGTGCACTGCAACCTACTAACCGGTCTTTAGCTATGTGCCAAATTTCAGCGCAATCGGCCTAGCCGTTCTCGAGATCTGGAAGCGGCACACTGCACGTGCGCACGTGCAAGCGGGGTCCAAACTGACTTTTGCACGGCACCCTACTAACTGGTCCCCAACCGTGTACCAAATTTGAGCGCAATCGGCCCAGCCGTTCTCGAGATCTGGGAGCGCCCCCTGCACGTGCGCACGTGCAGTAGCACCCCAACCTTAACACATGCAGATGAATTATCTGATGGAGACCTAACTGTGTACCGAGTTTCAATTCAATCGGCCCAACCGTTGTGCCGTTATTGAGGTTGCAATTTTGGGGTTCTTAAAAAATGTCCAACTTTACCACGCGCCACGTGCGGTGGTTGGGAAGAACGCATGGTGGCCATCACACCACAGAACTTTTACGTCCAAGTGACATTCAGTAAAGAAGACCGCTTGTCAATCGGATGTCCCGTTCCTAAGATATTAGCTTTTGAAGAGCGTCCCCACGGCCGGCCGGCCGGCCGGCCGCTCATACTCAGGATTTTCCCTTAATTCAGATGAGACTCCGCTCGCTTCGCTCGCTCCGTAACTAGTAGGTATCTCGAGCGAATAGCCAGAGTCGCTATAGAATTGCAACACTATTTTATGGATCTTTGAGTTCAGCATGTGATCGACTACTATGATTTCCACTTGACTAAATGATTCTATCTAACACATTTCTAACAGCGAAATCATACAGCGAGCGATTAAAACCACTCTCTACTGGTAGATCAGTCGTAAATAGTTATTACTTAACCACGACCCTTATCTTGGTGTTGCAAGGTGAGTCAGATATGCGAAAGGTAGACTTAATTGTTAAAGGATTGAAATGAAAAGCAAAATGTCAAAGAACGCCCATAAGTTTACTAGACCAGCCAATGTGAATTGTCTTACCAGCGGCTTCAGCACCTCGATTACAGTAGGTAAGTTGACACGATCTAGTTATTTGTCTTTGCATTTCACCAAGGCCATGGTCCAGGCGCTGTGTAAACAAACAGTGACCCTGGCGTGTGACATAGGCGGCGGAACGGAAGGGGGGCACCGGAGCACAGTGCCCCCCTTTGATTTTGTCATTTAAACATAAGCCCTATTGGCGTGCAGGCATGGAAAGAATTGGACCAGAAGTCGGCAGTGCCTCCCCCCCCCCCTTAATTGAAGGCGTTCCGCCGCCACTGGCGTGTGAAGGGTCCACAGTCACTGCCTGGGAAGGGCAGTAACCAGCTAGTGCCTATCCAGTGTGACCACCGACGCACGCTGGGTGTTCCGCTCCCCGTCGTACTTCTGGGAGACTGCGATGTCGGGTCAGTAAGCACAGTAATTCAAAGCGTTTATATCACTTTCCAGTGTCTAGTCGTGCCGTAAGACCTTGGTCCTCTCTACCGTGGCGGTACAGCTGGTTTGGACAGTAGAAATGAGTGGGTGAAAATGGTTTTCTTAATGCTTGCCTCATGTCTCCGGAATTGTGACTTCAAAGACGAATGTTTTGGTCTTTCACTGGAACTATTTAATAGTAAGGTAAATATTACATTTATCAATTACGTTCGCTAGTTGAGGAAAATTGTTAGACGGTGAAATGTGTGCTTCTTTATAAATAATTAGGCACTTCGCAAAAAAAAAATCACTTCGTTCCAGGACCGGATGGCACTGACCCACCTAGTGACGCCGTATTTGAATATGACGGCTCAGGGGAACTGCTCGTTACGGAGGCGATGATAACCAGCTACCGCGTCAATGGATACGTGTACATCAGGTGGGCGCACTTGAACGGGTGGGTTGACCGTACTCTGTAAATTATCCCTCCCTCCCTCCCTCCCCCCCTCTCTCTCTCTCTCTCTCTCTCTCTCTCTCTCTCTCTCTCTCTCTCTCTCTCTCTCTCTCTCTCCCCCTCAGAATAATTGCAGAATAATTGTTAAGGGAGTCATTGGCACTGCCTCTGGGGGAAATAACTCAAAAAAGGCATCAGCATACCTATTTCTAATTACCTAGCTGAAAAAGAGCATTGCCTCCCGATGACCCCGCTATAGTGCACTGACCGTTTCGGGAAACAATGCCACCTAGGAAGCTGCTATCCAGCGAGGAGATCGCTCATCTGAACCATGCCATTGACGAGTCTGCGGAGCTGAAGAGACACGCGTTCGGCCGCACGGACGACCAGGGACGCAAGAGTGAGATCTGCGTCTGGAACCACCCGGGTGATGACGTTCTGGGCACCGTGTCCAGGACCAGAAAGGTGGCACTCACCGCGCAGCAGGTGTGGTGGCGCCTACATCGGCTACTGACTTTTAAATGAGACTCTATTCTATCATTTTGATAATTTGTTGTCAAAAGACCGCTCACTGGCACTTCAAAATGAAATTTGTTCCATCTGTTCGATTCACTTCATGCTCTTTTTAAGTTCCTAGTCCATAAGTAAAGTTCAGTATCAAATTCGCGATTCTTGCTGCATTTTTTTCAGCTGATGGGTGGCGAGGAGGTCTATCACTACCACGCCAAGCTCATGATGAAGAGGGGACGCATCGGGGGTGCCTTCGTGTGGCACCAGGACTACGGGTATGTGTATGCACCTAAACATTGTGCCTAGATATTTAATGAGATACCTTAGTAAAATCCCAGATGTTTCGTTTAAGCCTCAACGAATGCCTTTATCACTTTGTTATTGTCATTAAAGTTACCACAAGTGTCTATGTTGCCGAGCACTCGCACGATTTCTTTGTTTCAGTTACTGGTACAATAACGGATGCATGTTTCCCGACATGTGTTCTGTGTTTATGGCCATCGACGACTGTTCGACGGAAAATGGATGCCTGCAGGTAAATTGGCTTCGAATACACGCAGTAAAACAATGATTGGCGTGGCCCCCACCGAGGCGTATCTTACATAGACACATCGGAGAGAGATGAGAACATGAAAAATGTAGAATTAGTCTTTTATTTAAAAGTCCAATCGGACTTTTTTAATTAATTCCTCTGATATAATGAGCATAAGATCAATTAAAACAATTATATCGATAACAACCATGCTCAAGGAAACGTTATGAGAACATATCTGTCCCTCCCTCCCACCGTGACGGACAGGTGCTGCGGGACTCTCACCGTATCACACATAGTACACCGTAGAGCTGATACCTATAGCCTGTCCCTCTCACCGTCCTCCGTCAGGTGCTGAGGGGCTCCCACCGCGCCGGCCGTATCATACGACATCACAGACACAACACGGAGAGCGGATACCTAGCCCATGTCCCTCCCTCCGCCCTCCGTCAGGTGCTGAGGGGCTCCCACCGCGCCGGCCGGATCGTGCACACCACAGTGGGCGAACAGGCGGCCGCCGACCCGGCCCGTGTCCGGCACCTGAGCCGCGTCTGCCCCCGCGACCTGGTCCAGATGCGGGCCGGCGACGCGCTGTTCTTCCACTGCAACCTGCTGCACTGCTCGGCCAATAACGACTCGGACCGGCGCCGGTTCGCGCTGATTGCGGCGTTCAACCAGCGGGCCAACGATCCTCTCTGGGAACACCACCATCCGCGCTACACGCGCCTCGAGATGGTGAGCGTTTCTGCGGCGGCGCACTGTGAATATGTGCCTGATGTTCATGTTTTCATAATATTTGTTTTTTACTTAATAGGTAAAACCAACAAACGTCTACCGTAGATAATATAGGCATTACATTATATTAACTAATAACTGAAAAGATGCTATTTCGTTTTAGGCAAAGTTTTGCCGAAATATCACAACACTTCAAGGAATATAAACATCGTGACTATGACATGAGCATTCTTTTAGTGTTTCATCTTTTACTAAAGAGCAACGACAGAATTACAACGCAGCGCTTGCCATGTACTATGCATATTGAATAACATTGCAAATTACATGAATCAATAACCATGCCTACCATTTCCCTTCAAAGTGACAGGCAGCGCGGCTCACCTAAATTCCATGGCGCATAGTTATTATATAGACAAAGCAAAATTGTAACAATGATTATGCGGTGGCCATTCGTTGAAACATTTCTAATGATAAATTACTGTTATATAAAATGACGTTTTGTTGGTATGTAAGCACCTGCAGATAATTATTTGCTGAGTTTAACTTTGTCGAGTATATGTAAGCACAGTTGACTACAGAATGATGTTCCGCTTCTCAGAAGCTATCAGTTGACTGGAACGTTTAGTTCTGCCGCTTATCATGTAATGATGGGTGTCTTCTGTCTAATTGTGAGCGCTGGGTCACAGCATTAAACTGTAATCTCAGTTCGTGTGATGCGGCACAGCCTACCACTCCAGGCAACTAATTGCGTGTGAAAAGTGGAGCACCATTCTTTAGTAAACTGTACCTACCATGTAGTTCATGATGCATTTCATCTATAACACACTCCGTTATCATTTCCACAGGTGCCCAATGACGCCGTTCTCAAGTGCACCAGACTGAACAGCTCCAGCGACAAATGGTTTGTCGACCCTGACGCCGACACTTCCTATGCCAACAACGAAACCGACAGCACCGCAACAGTGGACGGCGCCGCCTAACCGAGACGACTCACGAGAAGCATATTACAAAACCTCGGGGATCTACCCGGCACACCGGACGGTGAATGTCTATTGTTGTCACTTTAAGTTTGAAATAATGAGGAAATTTCGAAAAGCCCGAAAAAATCCACACTTTTGGGGCTTCAATGTAATTCCCGAAACTTAATGCATTGTAAACGAATATTTCATAAATGGCATGCCTTTAAACTTTGAAACGTTTGTTCGGGCCGCCCGGTGTCTTGAATGATTATATGATCAATAAATGCCGGAGATAACCATCAGCCACTTTCTAAGACATTTTTCGAATTGGTTTTGTATAGTTTTTCTATTTTTAGCTATGTATAGGGATGGTGCAGCCATCCGTGCCATTACGCTAATGCAAATGTGGGACAATGTGTGTGCAATGTGCATGGCACGCATTCGATTAATGCGTGACAAATAGTAATGCGTTCGCCGTTCGGTATTGCTAGTGGTAAACATACTATCAGCACGACAGAAATGCTGCTCTGAAGGTCTAGGACACCTCAAAAGCGTCATCTGCGGCTGGGCTGCCGCTCGAGCTCAGGAACTGCGCCATAACGATCATGTAGGTGATGGTGGCAGAGAGGATGCTGAGCAGGGTGGCGCGCCGCAGTCGGAACAGGCCCAGGTCGCCGAAGTTCTCCAGGTCGCGGGCGGCGGCCTCGCGCATCCAGGCGGCTGTCCTCCGTGCCGGTCCGGCGCCGAGGCGGCGCTCCAGCAGCAGCAGTTGATCGCGGCTGGCCGACACGCCGGACAGCAGCCGCTGGCACGTCTCGCACGGCGCCACCAGCAGCAGCACCACCAGCACGGCCTGCGCCGCCGGGAACAGCACCGACTCCGGGCTGGCCCGCGCCGTCACCAGGTGCACCAGCGCCGTCACCACCTGGATTTCCGCCAGCACGCCGAACAGCGTCGGCACCACCAGGTCGGCGGCCATGGCCGACGTCAGGCGCGCTAGCAGAGCCGAGAGACGCGTCTGCAGTCGCTCCAGATGTGGTGGGAGGGTGCCAGGGTCCTCAGCGGCCGCCGCCACTAGACCGGCGTTCAGCGTGTGCAGACTGTCGCTCAGAAGGACGCCAGTGAACATGTACTTTAGTGGCACGAGCTGGGAGAACGTAAGAATGAAACACTTCATGGCATCTTTCAGCAGGCTGGTCGCACAGGTGACTGGCACAGCGCAGTCGGTAGACACCACCTTTTCTATGCAGAGCGATATGAAGATCGCTGTGACTATCACCACCGCCTTCAGCCACAGCAGGCTGAGGTTGCGGCCGGCGGCCGATCCGCCGCCGCCGTAGGACGCAGCCAGCGCCTGTCTCTCCTGCAGCAGCTGCGGCAGCTCGTCCAGCAGCGCGTCGAACCGGCGGCTGCCGATGACGAAAGTCAGCGTCAGCGCCAGCCAGACCAGCGCCATCGTCAGCCCGAAGAAGTGAGAGGCGAGCGTGGCGTTGACCCAGTGCTCTCCGCGCTTTTCGGCGTCCAGACCACGCCGGACGTCATCGCGGACCGCCACCCAGCAGCCGACGGTCAGCAGGACGTACAGCAGGCTGTACCACAGCAGCGAGCACCGGCGCGGCCGCGGCCGGATGGCCATGCCGCTCAGGCGCAGCAGTCGGATCAGAGCGCGCAGAGGACGGCTGGCGCCCCCATCCCCGGCGCCGCCACTGGTCGGGGGCGCGGGCACCACGCGCTGATCCCCGGGGGGCATATCTGACCCGGCTGGCGGGATGAGTAAAACCGGGCATTAGCTTCGAAAAACGAATGTGAGGCACGACAGGAGTGCCACACTTACGCTACACCAAGTTATTGATACCGTGATTTCTGTCAGTCGAGGCTGGGCACGGGGACGACGGTATATGTAGGCCCAGGATTCCATCCATGATTCAACAAATGGCACTGAGACGGCAACAATTACTCGTTTGGTATTTGCAATAGGTACGTGCCTACCTTATTGAATATTCTAATTATTTATTTCAACTTTAATGACCTGGGACGGCTGCTTCCAAGATAATATTCCTATGCTAGCCATGTATTTAGCCTGTTCAAACAATTAGCTCAATAAATCTTAGGTATAAATGCGTGACATTTTGTTAACTTCTGTCGTCTTCGAGTATAGGCATTTTTTATATTCTCTTTTCACTTTCTAGAATCTCGGCCCAAGTGCTCATAAAACTTCAATCTCGTACCATTATCTATGCATAAGCAACGTTCTCGATGATTGATGACGCATTTTCGTTTTTACGGCCTGACACTGAATAGAAATGGAACACTTAGAAAAGCAGCACAGAAATGGAAAGCAAAAAAATATAAATGGAAAGCAGCACAGCATTTCAAGTACCCCATGACCACATGCAGCCAGTGAGATATGTTGAACGTGAAAATGATAAATAAAAAACGAGATTCGGAGGATTATCGGACTGAAGAATGCTCACCGTGAAGGTAGCTCGAAGGTGCCCGAAAGGCCCTCTCAGGAGGAGAGATCGCTCCCAGTAGTTGTGGACGGTGGACCTCTGGAGACGACTGCCGCCACTACCTACCTAGTACCACCTACTGCAGATCCACATCTTTCCGTGACCATTGTCTGGTCTGCGCTGCTGCGGACAAAGTCACAAATACCTACACGCTCCCAGTCCCATCCCACTGAAGCGCTCTTCTTTATGCTTACCGTTCCGACAACTTTCAGCTGAATAGGGCTCGCTCTTCATCGTAGTGGCGATGCAATTTACCGCACAATTATTCGCGCAGTACCCCGCATTCATGACTATCTTAGCGAAGCTACACACATCATTTACCCATAGAGGTGCCTTCACGTGTCCGACAGCTCATAATGTGTAGGCGTGTTTCACGCTCAGTACGCAGTATTCATGGAGCTGCCCTAACGAAGTTACGCTGCAAACTATATGCAGTACACATCATTTAGCTGTAGAAGTGCCTAAACGTGCCCAACAGTTCATATGCATTTGTTAAAGTATTGATTATTGACGGTTATTGACAGCAATGGGGTCCGCCATTTTACAGCATATAAATACCGTAAAGTGGGGCTATTTGAAACGGATTTTACAGTTTTTGGCCTCTCCCTTCAAAACGGCTGATATTTCCTATAGCATGTAAATTGCAAAAACGTAGTCCTCTGTAACCGTTTTCAGATAGGTCCGTTTTGGTTCAGATAGTAGGCATAAATAATGGCATTTCTCTAATTGAAGCCTGTCTCAAATAGCCCCATAGTGTGGGGCTATTTGAGACAGTTTTGGTTGCAAGGAAGTTAAAGAAAATTGGTCGAGCTAGGGATAATTCTTTTAATGCCATGCTATTGGAAATTAAATTTTGATACTTCTGGCATCAAGTATTTCTTTCAACTACAGTTATATAACCCTTATAATCACACTTTTCGTTTTTCGTTGGACATAGCATTTCGGTCTGATAAAAATTCGCATTACTTTATGCTAGGGCTGTCATAATATGATGTGACCCTAAGCTTTAAAAATAACAGGATAATTATATGGGACCATTTCTAAGTCAACGACAGTGAAATTTTTAAATAAAGTTGTTGTGTTTATCTCTGGCGGCGTAAAACATACAGGCTGAAAGTTGGTGGGGCTATTTGAGACAGGCTCGCTACTGCATTGAACACACCGTAATGCATTAAACAGGGGAAAACAGTTTTCAAAGTGGTTGAATGAATGACATTCATGATTGATTGTTTCGTTGCACATCAACCTGTGAAGAAATAACAGAAAAGGGTCAAATGGTTTTGATTTTATACCGATTTTCATAGAACACTGCATGCTGTATCGAACGGCCGGTTACCGCACTGCATCAAGTACGTATACTGAAGGCTCACCTAACAGTACGTATGTATGATAAATAACCTTCAATGGTGCCTTCTGGTCAACCAGAGTAGACATGGGCCGATTACCGACCACGTCAGTGACTGATGGAACACATTTTTTGCACATATTCATAAAGATAACTATAATAATATCGTCACAAACTGGACTGTCATATTAATACAATGTGTATATTGCTTGCTGCTGAAAGTACCATGAACCCATGACCGATTAACCTGTGTTTCTTAGATCGAACGGTTGATACACTTTAGGCATATGGCGGTAAGTATTTTCGGGTGCATCATATCACCTGTTTTTAGGGCCTTGACATCACAATCATCAGCTGTATTTGGTAAACGTTGAGGTTTGACGAAGTGGGTATCATCAGGATTCTGGGACATTGGGTTACACAATCGTCACTACCGTTAACAATAGATAATGTCTTCATGAAAAATATGCTTAGTCCGTAAGTAAAACGATAGTTACGATAGATTCGGTTGCAAAGTTTTCAAAACTTTAACCATGTTAAGCTGCAGGTAGGGGTGCTTTTCGTATTACTTATATTGTGGTTTTTCTGTATTTCTCATTTATTGCCAAATTTCTTTCGAAAATTTTCAGAATTTTCAAAAAACCCTATCCATGGAATGCATCGTTAAATTCCACATCAGCCTGAGCAAAAATTGATAAAAAATATCAAACAGTTTTAATTGTACAGCAGTTTTAGTAAACCACTACCGTACTGTCTCAAATAGCCCCACTTTACGGTACCTAAAACATAAGGTAAAAGAACTATAGGGAATTGATGGAATTACGATGCCGGATGCCTCCGTCGGCCTTGCACGACAAACTTACCTAGGTATATCGATTTCGGGCTGAAGCATCTTTACGCGCACTGCCCGCGCCATATTGTTCAATAATCCATGTTGACCATTGACGGCGCCGTGGCTGCTCCTGAGCATGGCGGACAATCCCGAATTCGCTGAGACGAAAGTAGATACATATGCCTACAAGGATGTTCGATACCTACCGTGCGTTCAGTGCACGAGAAAACTTAGCCCTCGACGGAACTATTGGTTTTCTACATACGCCGTTACGAGGCATAGCGATTGGTGCCCGTTTTAAAGTTTCAGGTCAACCGGTGACCTCTGAGGTCAGGTCAAGTGCCCCAAAGTACGGGTTCAGATTTCGGTAGATAACTTCGCAAGAAATGGTCGCAGAGCCGCAAATTTGACACCATCGTGTTTATCTTCTTCAGGCGCGTCGAATGGTATATTTTTTGTTTGGGTGAGATCAACTAGGGTGTTGACCTCGGGTCAAGTTTAGGTCAGAGCCCTCAGGTCGCTAAGTTGGTCGAAGGAGGTCATATTGCACATCATTTGATTCAACAGGTCTTCCCGAGTCCATTGGTGGCTTTGCTGACTAGCGTTAATTTTAATA